AATTTTGGCTTTTTTTTTTGGTGGCCTAAGAAAACCTAGAAATAATAAGCCTAAATAAAACAAAGTTCAAAAAATAAAGAAAATAGAAATTTTAGGAATAAGATTACTTGATGGGATCTATCAAATTACTCAAATTCTTAAATCTTAATTTATAATTACTAACATTTATATTTGTACATTAAAAGATAACGTACTAATTATCTAGACCCATACACACCATAGAAAAGGCAGACTGTTAAGACTAGATAATAAAGCAAGATTCAACCATATCCTGACCACAAGAAAACCACTTTAAATGAGAGAAACATTAAATAACTTAAAAGGAAAAGGATGAAAAAAAAATATCATGTTATCACAAATCAAAAAAAGCTGGTATAGCCATATTAATGACAAACGGATCTCAGAGTAAAGAATATTGGCAAAGATAAAAAGGATCATTTCATAACGATAAAGGGGTCAATTTATCAAAAAGACATAACAATCCTAAACACTTTTGTACCTTTATAAGAAGAGTTTTAAAAACATATGAATTAAAAACTCACAGGAAAAACAGACAAATCTGCAAGTATAATCAAAGATTTCACCATCATGCTCACAATAATTGATAGTAAACAGAAAATCACTAAGATACAGCAAATTTGAAGTCATCAACTAATTAGCCAATTGGCATTTAGAGAACACACCATCCAGAATGCAGATACACATTCTTTTCAAGAGTACATGGAACATGTGATAAGATAGACCACATTCTCACTCATAAAATGAGGTTCAAAATATTTGAAAGTACTCAAATCATACAAAATATGTTCTGACTAAAACAGAATTAAATTTAAAATAACAAAAAAGACATTTGAAATGTCCACAAATACCTGCACTAAATAGCACACTTCAAGTAACCCAGAGGACAAAGAAAAAAACAAAAAGGAAAGTAGAAAAGTATTTTGAACCTAATAAAACAAAACCATCAAAATTGTGAGATGTAACTGAAGCAGTGCTTTAAGGGAAACACATAGCACTTCACGATCATATTGGAAAAGAAGGCAATTCTAACATCAGTGACCTAAACCACAGCTAGTTCTTTGTGTCCCCCCAAAAAACAAAATCAGTAAAACTGATAAACTTCTAGCCAGACTAATAAGAAAAAAAGAGAAGATACAAATTATCAATATCAGAAATGACAAAGGAGAAAACACTATAGACAATAAAGGAATATTATAAGCAACTGTAGCCAATAAATGTGATAAATTGCTAAATTCCTTGAAACACAAAAATTAACAAAGCTCACGTATAGCTAAACAGAATAACCTTTTAAATCTATCAAATGTATAAATAAAAAACCTTGGCACAAAAAACAAAAACAAACCTTTCTCACAGATAAACAAAAGGCCCAAATGGCTTAGAAAATTCTACCAAACAAACAAACAAAAATACCAATACCAAAAATACCAACACAAGAAAACATCAACACAAACTCTTGAAGAAAACTGAAAAGGAAAAAATGCTTTCCAATTGAGTCTCTGAAGCCAGCCTTTGATATCAAAATCAGACATGAAATCCCTTATAAACATAGAGACAAAAATTAACAAAATTTAGTGAAATGAAAGGACAAATTATCATACCTATGTAGTTTATCCCAAGGATACAGATTGATTTAACATGCAAAAGTTAATGTAACTTACCTTATTAAACAAGCTAAAGACCATGTATTCATCTTAATACATGCACATAAACAAAATCCAACATCAATTCATGATAAAAATCTCAGCAAACTGGGAATAGAAGGGAACTTCCTCAAACTAATAAAAGGATCTCCTTTTATTTCAGTTCAGCTGGTATCATACTTCACTGAAAGACAGACTGGATACTTTCACCCTAAAACTGTGAAGGAGGCAAGAATGTCCACCCTCATCAGTTTTATACAACACTGTCTTGGAGGCTCTAGCCTGTGCAATAAGGCAAGAAAAAGAAAGGCACACAGATTAGACAGCAAGAAGTAAAACTGTCTTGTCACAGACAGCATGACTGACTGTGTAGAAATTCTCAAAGAATCTATCAAAAAAGCTATGAGAATTAATGAGTTTAGCAAGGTTGCAGTATATAAAAACCAATATACCTAAATCAACTGTATATTACTAACAACAGACAATCAGAAATTCACATTAAAAAATACCATGTAAAATAGCACAAAAATATAAACAAACTTTGCAATAAGATGCACAAGACCATACAGTAAAAATTATAAAACACTGCTGAGGCCCGGCACGGTGGCTCACACCTATAATCCCAGCACTTTGGGAGGCTGAGATGGGAGGATCACAAGGTCAGGAAATCGAGACCATCCTGGCTAACACAGTGAAACCCCATCTCTACTAAAAATACAAAAAACTAGCTGGGCGAGGTGGCGGGCGCCTGTAGTCCCAGCTACTCGGGAGGCTGAGACAGAAGAATGGCATGAACCCAGGAGGCGGAGCTTGCAGTAAGCCGAGATCATGCCACTGCGCTCCAGCCTCGGCAACAGAGTGAGACTCTATCTCAGAAAAACAAAAAACAAAAAACAAAAAAAACACTGCTGAGAAAAATTAAATGAGATCTAAATAGATATGCCACATTCATGATTAAAAGACTACTGTTAAGATGTCAGTTCTCCCAGAATTTATATACAGATGCCATGCAATCCCAATGAAAACCACAGGACACTTTTTGGTATGACTTGACCAACTAATTCTAAAACTTGTATGGAAATGTAAATAATTTGGAATAGGCAAAACAAATTGAAAGATAATGAACAACTTAGTTGCTAGTTTCATAAAGTTCTCATTTTAGTTGGTTGTTTATTCCCAAACTAGTTTATGGCAGTTTTCTCTGTTACTGTAACTGCAAAAATCAAAGACATATGAGTGTGAAATGAAAGAGGACTATTGCTTCCATGAAAATCAAATTGGATACTCCAGAAAGACCTAGGAAATACTGGTCTTACATCAGATATTGACAAAGAAATTGCAGAAGACTTGAGGGAAAAATCTGGAGATCTAAGTTGTTTTGCAAAGGTGTTAAATTTTTCGGTTACATTTTAAAAGAAGTCCAAAATGGAAAATATAGACTAAGTATTATAGGTATGTTTTTATTAAACATCAGTTGATAACACACAAACTCATTTGAATCTTATCTTTTCCTCTTAACATTACAAACAAGCTAGTTCTCCCATATTATTGAAAACATTGTTCTTTTAAATAGTTGCATCTGGCACAGGCTTTTAAAGTTACTGAATCCGTGCATACACATACTGACGTCTACCTATAATGAGGTACAGTCATTCATTTCTCACTCTTCCTGAATTGACAAGTAGGAATTAAAGATCATATGGATTAAGAAGAGTTTAAAATTGGATTCTCAATACAGATGTCACAGGCAATGACTACTTCTTTACTTTAAAAAAAAAAAAAAAGTCCTGGCTGAATATTTGTCCCCTTTATTCTCATCTATTACCTGTTTATTCAAATCTATAAAAGCAGCTTCTTCAAAAAACTACCGACCACAAAATTGCTATTAACTCAACAACCTGTGGCAGTTATCAAAACACTTCCCACTTCAAAGGTGAACAGTAAAAACAATTACCTATGTGGAGTTTTAAAAAAGGGTTTTAAAAACATCCCTCACTTATGTGTGAAGGCAAAAATATACACTGACATTTCATGCCTGGTGTCTAGTTGCTGTCTTCCTATGTTTGCTTTCTAGGGAATCAATAAAATAAAAATAATAAGGATAGAAATGGTAATGGTAGGCCGGGTGAGATGGCTCACGCCTGTAATCCCAGCAATTTGGGAGGCCAAGGCGGGTGGATCGCCTGAGGTCAGGAGTTCGAGAACAGCCTGGTCAACATGGTGAAACCCTGTCTCTACTAAAAAACACCAAAATCAGCTGGGTGTGGTGGTGGGCACCTGTAATCCCAGCTACTTGGGAGGCTGAGGCAGGAGAATTGCTTGAACCTGCGAGGCGGAGGTTGCAGTGAGCTGAGATCACACCATTGCATTCCAGCCTGGGCAACAGCCCTAGACTCTGTCTCAAAAATAAATAAAAACGACGTGCATAGCTCTTTACATCTAGAACCTGCTGGTCTTTCAGGCCTAACTGGGGTTCATTCTGTTGATCTGATGCATTCTTCTCCTTGACTTTGTACTTCAGCCCAGTCAAACAGCACTGGAGGTTTCCTTTTCCGTCATAGTTTGTCCATTGTCAACAGATAACAGATGTCATCGTTAAAAAGCTTGGTAAAAAGTTTAACTGGATTATATCCAGTTGATTTAGTCCATTCCTCAGTGCAAATACGTTTAATGTCACCATCTTTATTAGAATGTTCTAGCTCTGGCTTCGGCTTCTGTTGGTTCCCAGGCAGCTTCAGGGTCAGTTCTGTCAAAAGATACTTAAGTACTTTGCCCAAATGATGCAATGTATAGGTTCTGAAGGTGTGTTACAAATTGTACAGTCAGGAGAGGTTCTCTGTGTTGGCTTAGGATGACATTCATAACACTTGGTCACACCCTTTTTCATAGTAGTTATTTGTCCAAGATATCCAGCAGTTCCAGTTCCAGTAAGAGGAACATCAGCTGCCAGGCACATTCTATTAACATGGTTTCGGGCAGCTCTGTTATCTAAAGCATTCATAACCAATAAAAACTATCAAAAAATTCCATATTGTAGTCAGGGTTCATGATGCTGTAATGGTAGGCAACGATATTAGTTTTCAGGTAAAATTGCAGTGCACTTTCCCTGGCAACCTGTGCCTTTGATCTTCCAACATGTTTCTTTTGAAACAAAAACTATCTGTTGAGGTTGGTGACATCAATAGTAACTAGATCAATCAGGTCAATTGGGAGAAGCCGGTAAGCACCAGGTTCTTGAGGAGCTCACAGCACTGAGACTCTGAGAGTTCATTTAGCAGAAAAGGGGGATGGAGCTGAGCTCATATGGGATAAGGATGACCCATATGCAATGGATTTTGTCACCTCTGCTGCAAACCTCAGGATGCATATTTTCAGTATGAATATGAAGAGTAGATTTGATATCAAATCAATGGCAGGGAATATTATTCCTGCTATTGCTACTACTAATGCAGTGATTGCTGGGTTGATAGTATTGGAAGGATTGAAGATCTTATCAGGAAAAATAGACCAGTGCAGAACAACAGTCTTGAATAAACAACCAAACCCAAGAAAGAAGCTTCTTGTGCCTTGTGCACTGGATCCTCCCAACCCCAATTGTTACATATGTGCCAGCAAGCCAGAGGTGACTGTACAGCTGAATGTCCATAAAGTGACTGTTCTCACCTTACAAGACAAGGTAGTGAAAGAAAAATTCACTATGGTAGCACCAGATGTCCAAAGTAAAGATGGGAAAGGAACAATCCTAACATCTTCCAAAGAGGGAGAGACAGAAGCTAATAATCACAAGAAGTTGTCAGAATTTGGAATGAGAAATTGCAGCTGGCTTCAAGCAGATTACTTCCTCCAGGACTATACTTTATTGATCAACATTCTTCACAGTGAAGACCTAAGAAAGGATGTTGAATTTGAAGTTGTTGGTGATGCCCCAGAAAAAGTGGGGCCAAAACAAGCTGAAGATGTTGCCAAAAGCATAACCAATGGCAGTAATGATGGAACTCAGCCTTCCACCTCCACAGCTCAAGAGCAAGATGATGTTCTCATAGTTGATTCGGATGAAGAAGATTCTTCAAAGAATGCTGACGTCAGTGAAGAAGAGAGAATGCACAAGAGGAAATTAGACCAGAAAGAATCTCGGTACAAAGAGGTTACGTACAGGACAGAAGGAAGAGCTTGATGATGTCATAGCATTAGATTGAACAGAAATGCCTCTAAACAGAGCCCTCTTAATACTTATTTATCTGGGCAGAACCAGATTATCTGTTACGTCCTTTGTTCCAAAGGGAAAAAACTGACACCAGTGACTTGAAAATGATTCTGCTCCCTTTGAAAGCATTCATTTCGCTAGAACTGTTAGACACACTGCAGTATGCTATACTGAAAGTAGGAGTATAGTTTTAAAAAACCTTTGAACAAAGTATGTGCATAACCAGTCATGAGAAAAAACAACACAATGCATGTTGTCTTTTTAATGTAAATACCCTTAGGTATCATTAACAGTTTCAAAATATTGTGGTTTAGTAAAGTTGATACCTGGTTATAAATATTATGCCCTTATTTTTGGCTAGAAGAATGAATTTTAGCCTAGATCTAACCATTTTTATACTCTTAACCGACTGAAACAGATTCAAAGAAGTATCAAGTGCTATGCATTGAAACTTGTTTTTAAATGTTAAATGGCACTATGTACATTAATGTAAAACAGTGTTAATTTACTCACATTTTCAGTTTGTACTGCCTGGTATGTCTGTGTATGAGGCCAATTTTTGTGTATTGTTATAGTTTCAGGTTATTTATAGTAGATGTTTTGTAAAACTCAGTGACTATGCTTATGGACCAAATAAATAGCATCTGCATTCTTGTTACATAATAGATAAATAAACAAATGGTAACGGTGTCAACTAGAAAGCTAAGAACTAGTAGAGCTGTAATGTCCAAAAATGTCAGTAGTGTCTGTTACTGCTATTTATTTAACGGTCTTTATTTTCTTATCTTCTAATTCTACGTAACAAAAATAATGCCACATTTCAAAATTATGTGACTAAATAGTGCTAGTATTTACTACCACAGAACCTTTCTCCTCCCCAGTGTTTTGGCTGCTGAACTGAATATAGATTATCAAAGATTTGTTGTGAGCCTAACATTTCAATGATTCTATAAATTTTATAGCATTTCATCTTACTTGCTCTGAGACTTCAAATACAAAAGCACTTTTTCTAAATTTTCTAAAATAAACATTACTATTATAATCCAAAGAAAATTTATTCTCACAAAATATGGTACACATATAGTCACCCAACTAAATATTAAATATTTATTTCTATACATGTATTTCATGGTTTCCTGTATATATTTATTGATAAATACTAAAGCTGATATATGGAAAGACTTGATATATTTAGTAAGGTCATATTTCAGAAGCATTGTTAATGCAGATAAGACATATACATCCACATTTTTCAACAAGAAAGATGTTACTTCAGTTCCAAACGACCACACTTAAGGTAGGGCGCAGACATATATAGAATATAAGACAGGACTGTAACAATCAAGTCTTCAGTTACTTTTCACTTCTGACTACATGACTATAGTAAACAAGATACCTCCATCAACTGATTCTTGGGGATAAAAAATCCAATTACTGTCCTGCTTTACAATAAATTTAGAATAAAATGTTTTGTTAATCGATTGTTAAATCAGGTAAAGCATAAGGTACTTTAAACTGATTATTTGGTCTCATAAAATGATTCAATCTAAAGGCTTAATTTAGAGTCACCTATAAAATGACCCTGTATTCTACGTTGTTAATCTTAAAAGTTTAATAGTTCTTAAACTTACATAATTATTTTTTACCCAGAATCATCAATGTAGGACTAATTCTGATGAAATAAATCTAGATTATTTCCCCTTTCCATCAGCCCATCTCCCAACCAAATAATACTTAGAATTATCACAAAGAGTCTTTCTAATCACACTTATTTAACTTTGTAGTATATTTTGAATTAGAAGGCACAATTAATAAAACTGTTCTCTATATAGAAAGATTTGTTATAAGGGTCCCCTATACCAGATGTGTCTGTTATTTCTCTGAGAAAATCTAATCTTGGAAGGGCTGGGGGAAAGGAAGAATAATAGCATGGCTCCTCTTTAGCATCACTTTAAACGGCCACCATGATTAGAGAGGGCAAGGTTTCAGACATGCGTTTAGGAAGCATGTAGTCATTTAACTTTTTCATGTGGTGTAAAGCTTGTAAACAAGAAGACAGGAAAGTAAATTCCTATGAATCATATACTTTTTACAAAGTATTTCAGTTAACATATTCCCAGATATACAGAATTACAGAATATTGCCAATTATAATCTATCCAATGATGACTGTGGAAATGTGTAATTTCCAATGATATTTTATCATCTTGATGTTCTGGAAACACTAAATAATATAGGATCTTTTCATCAGGAAGTCAATTTGTTCTGAAAGAAAAGGGTCTTTATGTTTAGTTATGCCTGGCAGGCATTGCAAAAGAGTACTTCTTCTCTATAATTAGCACAGTGAAGGTATACCTATCCAAAAAATATCAAGAGGAGGTATACATAAGAAAGGAGATGGGTTTTTCATTTTTAAAGTAATGGCTTCCTTAAAAAGTAATATCAACTAACAATGGACTAAGGACTGAAACAAAGGACCTAGAACTGTAAAATTCCTAGAACATAGTGGCAAATTTTTATTACGTGGGTCTTGGCAATGATTTGTTGGCTACGACATCAAAAGCACAGGCAAAAGAAGAAAAAACAAACAAGGAGCATGACTGTATTAAACTAAAAAGTTTCTGCATAGCAAAGGAAACAATGAAATGGCAACCTACAAGATGGGAGAAAATATTTGCTAACCACATATCTGATAAGGGATTAATAGCTGTAACATATAAGAAACTCCTATAACTCAATAGCAAAAAACTTCAAATATCTCAAATTTACAAATGGACAAAGGACTTCAATTAACGACTAACAGGTATAGGAAGATGCTGGACATCACTAATCATCAGGGAAATGCATATCCAAACAATAATAAGGTAAATGCTTTTTTAAAAAAGTTAAACACAGAACTAACATATGATCTACCAATCCCACTTCTGGGATAGGGTAGTTCTGTGTTGAATTTTTTAAAAGAACTGAAGTCAGAATCTTGAAGAGACAGTAGCACTCCCATATGTACACTGAAGCATTGTACACAACAGCCAATATGTAGAAACTTTACTGTCCACCAACAGATGAGTGGATAAAATGGATTTACTGTGTGATAACACAGTAAATTATTATTCAGCCTTTTAAAAGAATGAAATCCCATCGTATGCAACAACACAGATGAACCTTGAGAAATCATGCTAAGTGAAATAAGCCAGTCACAGGACAAATACTGCATGCCTCCATTGATTAAATGTCTAAAGTAGTCAAACTCATAGATGCAGAAAGTAGAATGATGGTTGCCAGGAACCGAGGTGGGGAAGCAGTTGCTGTTAATGTGTATAAAGTGTCAGAGAGGTCTGCTGTACAACATTGTGCTTAATGCTGTGTTAACAATAATGTCCTATACACTTAAAATTGTGTTAAGGGCGGGGGAAGGTTCATAATATTTTACATTTAATTTTTAAAATTCAATTTACTGCTTTTTTAAATTTATATATACTTTTTGAGAAATTGTACTACTCTCTACCTTTTACAGTTTTTTGAGGTGTCACAGAACATGCCTACTGGCTTTTTTTTCCCCCTGAGATACACAGATACTCTGTGCTACGAAGTCTTCCTTTTTAAGGTTAATATTCCAGACTTTTGACTTAACTCTTGCTTATGTGCCTAATGACAGAAATCATGCTCTACTACTGCTAATATTCTATGAGCAGAAGGCTTGGATCTACCAGGGTATTCTTGAGGTTCTGAAAGGGCCACAGAACATAATTCTTCTCACTTCCTTCTAGTACCTGCCTCACCTGGATAAGTTATGCCTAGCCTGCAAAGCACCTTGGCTAAGAAAATGCCCCATGCCCCATGCCCCATGCACCACAAGCCCCCTGCAAAACCCAGTCAGAACAGTCTTCAGACTGGTGAATACAGACATCATTTAGAGATAAAGGTACTTCAACGATGGGCAGAATAGGCATATTAGAAGGAAAATGGATACTTCTAAAAATCTCACAGGAATGGAATGAGAAAGAATATAGGTCTTATATCAAGCAAAAATCCTCAAGTTGAGACCTTGAAAGGCAAAAATCTCTCTGTTCAGGGATGGGGGAGAGGGAGAGACAGAAGGAAATTCAGTCCTCAATTCTTGCTCAATTATATCAGAATAAGGAGGTACTATTTCTAATTTTCCCCAAACATGAGACTCTTATTTCTTAAAATCTCTAAACTGTCCTCTATGGGGAAAAATGCCTTTTAAGCCTTCCATTGGAATGCCTTCCATTATTTTTCATTCCAAAGAAATCTGCTTGCTTTCCATTAATGGATCTATTAAAAGGAAACTACTTTTGTTCCTTCTTAACCTTCTTTTCTAATATAGTAAGAAGAACAAAATTCAATCCCCAGATTTTTTTAAAGCCTACAACGGGATTTTAAAATGCCACTAATTAGACTACACAAATACAGACACTACTTGCACTGAATACTGTCACTCCATACACTGTCAACAACTGTAAGAAACTTCCTTTTTCAGCTACCATCTCTTGAGCGACTCCTATGCTTTGGCACTTAGTCTAGAAAGTTTATATATGGTATCTTCTACCTACCTTTTAATTAGTTACCACTGGCCAAACTTTAAAGATGAAGCAACTGAAGCTCTGTGAGGATAAAACCATAGCCAGTGCCACAGAGTCATTAAGTGGTAAAATCAGTATGTCACCCAGTTCTCTCTGATATTCACTGAATAGATTATTGAACTGATACAAGGATAAATGGATGACAGCTGTCCTGGATATTTAAGGACAGATAATAAACACCCAGAAATTCATTAAGAAAGTAATAATAATGAATAAGGTTATTATACTTCAACCTCTTCTGCATTCAGAGATGGATGTGTTAGATGCTCATTCCTATTCTTTTGCAGTGAGGCTGGAATGCACCAGGACAGAATTCAATAGCTGAGGATCCCAATGAAACCGAGAGGAAGAAAATATAAGCAGAGGCACACTAGGAAGCAAACTAACAGTCCAAAATAGCAAAGATACCTATGGTCCACACCCCGCCCTTACCAGTTCTTAGTGAACAATTGGTTTTGGTAATACTGCTGAGATAGCATAGACTGGTGGTTTAGATGATCTCTTTCCAGAATTGCCAAGATATTTTAAGTTTTAGCAAGCCCTGTATT